TTTTTTAACGTTTTTTATTTATTTTTGGGACAGAGAGAGACAGAGCATGAACGGGGGAGGGGCAGAGAGAGAGGGAGACACAGAATCGGAAACAGGCTCCAGGCTCCGAGCCATCAGCCCAGAGCCCGACGCGGGGCTCGAACTCACGGACCGCGAGATCGCGAGATCCCGCGAGATCGCGAGATCGTGACCTGGCTGAAGCCGGACGCTCAACCGACTGCGCCACCCAGGCGCCCCGACTCATGCTTCCTTCTACACAAAGTGCGAGGGCCGAGGCTTCACTCGGTCACATGACAGGGCCGGGGCTCCGAGACCCCACGGTCTAGTGAGGGGCTGGGGGTCGGGCGGAGGGCTGGCCTCCTGATTGGGCACTGTGCATGGGGGGAGCCCCACACCCCGGCTCTGTGGCCTGGAGCCCCGACCTCTGCTCCTGACCCCAACTGGGGACCCTGGTGTGCAGGCGTCCGGGACGTCGAGGGCCCGCATCAGCCCTGTGTGCCCCGGGTGTGGGGCTGGACACCGCGGGGAGCCCTGCTGGCCGCTGCTCCCGTGGGTTGAGGATCCGGGTAACTAACCCACAGCTCGGCCCCAAACAGGAGGAAATGGACAGCAATCCCATGGTGTCCTCGTTGCTCAACAAGCTGGCCAACTACACCAACCTGAGCCAGGGCGTGGTGGAGCACGAGGAGGACGAGGACAGCAAGAGGCGAGAGGTCAAGGTGAGCCCCCATCCTTCCCCCTGTCCCCTCTCCCCCGTCCCATCTCTTCCCTTATCCCTGGGACACTCCCTGAGTCCCAGCAAAACATTGGTTTTGTCTCTCGTCCGCACGAGGTTAGGTTAGGGCAGACGAGGGCTTTTTCCGACCTCCCACGGTGATTATTCCCCCGGCTCTTGGCCCTGCCAGTACTGCCCACAGGTGCTGTGTTTCAGGGATTATGAAGCAGGGCGGCGGCCAGGCCAGCAGGACGAAGGTGGCCTGGGGCCTGGGCACCTGGTCTCCCCTCGAGGGGTTGAGCATTTTCTGCAGGATTCCTGCAGCTGGCTGTGGCAGCCTGGGGGCTCCCTGGCCGCCTCTCCTTCCTCTGCGCACTCTGTCCAGGGCGCCAGCTCTGCGTGCACGGAGTCCCTCCCGCATCCTGTGTCCAGCCTGACCTCGGCTGTCAGGAAGTCCGGCCACAGAAGGCACCTCTTACTGTAAACCAGCAGAACGGATTCTCCCGTTCCCTTGACGCTTGGGCGTGTTTGCTCTGTGTTTGCGAAGTGCCACCTGCTTAGTCTGGAGTGAGGGACGTGGGGTGTGAGGACTGCCTTGCCCAGCCCTGGCCCGGCCGCCCTCCTGGGGGCAGGGAGCAGTGTCCTGAAGGACGCTCCCCAGTCCTCGGGAGCCCATGGTGGCCCTGGTCGCAGGTTATACCATGGATGCTGTGGGCCAGGTGCCATGCTGACAGATGCTCTGGGGTTTCCCATGTACCCCGGGCACTGCCTGTGGCCTCACAGGCTCTTCTCTGGTCCAGACTTTGGGAACCGCGGGCATCTTCTGTGCAGTCAGCACCCATCGGTGCCTGTCCCTCTGTGTGTGTGCTGGGGCTTCTGTGATGTCCACTGCCTTCGGAACAGGTGCTTTGCCGTGGTGGGCCCGGGTGTGCCGGCCCCTGCTGGCTCCCCCCGCTGTCCCCAGGCTGCCCAGCTCAGCCCAGCGTGTCCTAGCCTCCCCTGCACGGAAGTGCAGCCCAGACCCCTCAGCATGGTTTCTGTTGGGACGTAATCTAAGTGTCCAGCCTGGTGAACCTGCACAGCACGTGGCTTGGACCTGTGGCCAGGTTAGGACCTGGGACAACCTGCCCGTGGGGCAGGTCAGCTGTCTGTCCTCTGTCCCCTGGAGATACTGGGGCAGCTGCTGCAGGCTGGATTTCGGTCACAGGAGGGATCCAGCCACCCTGGGACCCTCAGCACAACCATCGTCACCAGGTGGACATATTCTGGGTGGCACGAATCAGCCGCCCCACTTAGGGCTGACCAGGTCCTCTGGGGATGGGGGCTTCCCTTACTGTCCCCTGTGACCAACCAAGCACAGGAGCTCATCCCCAGATGTCCACCTACCCCCCGGCCCCGCCCAGTGAGGGCTCTGGACCTCCCGGCCGGCCGGGCTGGTCCACCAAAGCCGCCTGTAGGAGCGAACTGCAGGTTCTTCCAGGGTGACTCGGGTCTTGCCCGACGCCAGGTGCAGAACAGCAGTGGACACCCTGCGTCAGCTGGGGATGGCTGCGTGGCACTTACCTGTGAACGAGACGCCGCCCCCTGCCTGGCACCACCCTCCCTTGGCCAGTGCGTTCCCAGTTTACACAACTGGAAAGTCCCTGAGTTGCTCTCGCCTGCCCCGTGGCCACTCGAGGGGGCACACAGAAGCCAGGCACCCCATGGGCGGGCAGGCCCAGGCCCTGCGTTAGAGGGAGCTGAGCGTCCCAGACGTGAAGACGCCCACGCGCTCGGGGGTGCCCTCAGAGGGTTTTCCCCAGGGTTGTGGGGTCCCATGGGGCTCTGTGGCCCTGCCCCGTCCAGGCTCGTGGGGGCAGGCGTTCCTGCGTGGAGACCAGCCCTTTGGTCCTGAGAGTTTACCTGCCTCCTTGAATGTGGGTGCAGCCTGCTGCCCTCGGGGAGCCCGTCCCTGGGCCGCGAGCCAGCAGAGCTGCCTCCAGCCCCTCAATTGCAGCCTGTTCTCTTTCACAGGAAGTGATTTCAAAGCAAATCTTCCCCAGTTTTTTTGTTTGTTTTTTTTAATTCACCTGAACTTGAGAGGTTTTTCCCTTGAACGTCATCTCACCTCTCCAGACAGCCCTGTACCACCTGACCGTGGTGTCATGTCAGCTGTCAGACAGGACGGGCTGGGCCCCTGGCGTCTGCCCTGCCGACGTGCTGAACTTCTGTCCCGGGGCCCCCGGGGCAGGGCCGTGCAGCTGGAGCGTGTGGCCCCCACGGCTTCTCTCCCTGTCCTTCTGTCCTGGGGCTCCTGGGTCAGGGCCATGCAGCTGGAGCGTGTGGCCCCCGCAGCTTCTCTCCCTGTCCTTCTGTCCCGGGGCTCCCGGGGCAGGGCCGTGCAGCTGGAGCGTGTGGCACCCGTGGCTTCTCTCCCTGTCTGTCCTTCTGTCCCGGGGCCCCCGGGGCAGGGCCGTGCAGCTGGAGCGTGTGGCCCCCGTGGCTTTTCCCCCTGTCCTTCTGTCCCGGGGCCCCCGGGGCAGGGCCGTGCAGCTGGATGCCTGCAGGTGAGGGTCCAGCCTCCCTGGAACCGGAACTGCTGTGCTCGCTTCCAGAGCCCGCGCATGGGCACCTTCATCGGCGTCTACCTGCCCTGCCTCCAGAACATCCTCGGCGTGATCCTCTTTCTGCGCCTGACGTGGATCGTGGGGGCGGCTGGCGTCCTAGAGTCCTTCCTCATCGTGTCCATGTGCTGTACCTGCGTGAGTGACTGCAGGTCCCCAGGCGGGTGGCGTCTGGAGGTCAGGGACCCATCCGTGTGGGTGGCCGGGGGCTCTCCAGGGCGCTGTGCCCAAGGGAAGTCGAGTCTTGTGGTCCCGGTGGGCCGGGACCAGGCTGGTGACGGGCCAGAGGGACTCCTGTACCTGCGTCTGTGAAAGGATGCTGGGGCGCACATCCTGGTGGCCGAGGGCTTTTGAGGGGCGCTGTCAGCACTCATGAGGGTGCTGTGTTTTGCCGAGGTCCCTTTCCGGTTTTGAAGCCCCTGGGCTCCCTGTTCGAAGGAAGAGCCCACGCCAGTGACTTGCTCAGCCCCAGACCCCGGTTCCCCAGACCCGCCTCGCCCTCACGTCTCCTCTGCACAACTACACCAGGCCTCCTTCCCACTGCTCGTGGGTCTGCCGTGGCCTCTGTGTCCTGGGCACCTGCTCCAAGAGCCACAGCCTTTCCTGCCTTGCTCTCACTGTGGGGACCGTAACTGGCTGTTCTGATCCCCCGGTGTCACCTGGAGCCCTCTGGCTAAAATTCAGACAACACAACAGCGAGAGTCCCTTGACCTGGCCCCCTGGGGACCTGCCTGTGTCCCCTACAGCTTTGTGGGCTGTGGTGTGGCTGCCTGAACTGTGTCCCCTTCCTTCTGTGACACTGCTTTTACTGGAGGAACCTGGAGGTTATCTGGAGTAATTGCCACAGAAACTTACAAACCAGGAATAAGAGAAGAGGCTTCTTTAAGTAGCAAATGTGCCCAGCAGGACACTTAGCCACACCCCACGGCAGGTGGACACTCGGGCAGGAGCCAGCCTTTCACTCCAGGTGGGGTCCTGCATTGGGTGTTTCTGATGGCCTGTAGGAGCCCAGCTTTGGGGGTTGGGTGGGAGATGATGAGGAACATTCCGGAGCTTTCCAGAGCCCATGTGGCTGGTTGCTCACCAGTTCCTTTGTGATTGGGCCGGTGCGGCTCCCGGCGTGTTCTCTCTTTTGAGAGGATCTCCTGTGTCTTTGCAGACGATGCTGACTGCCATCTCCATGAGTGCCATCGCCACCAACGGTGTGGTCCCAGGTAAGGGTGCCGGGCAGGCTGAGCGGAGGGCCGTCCTCCTCACTTGGTATCGCAGCCCACCGATGCACCGAGAGCTGGTGTCCTGGTGTCCCCCAGGGGCACCAAGGTGGGGATCCTGTGCACACTTGTCTCCTAGCACCTGGCCTGGCGCCCGAGCCTGCTGTGAAATCGGGCTTCTCTGGGTAGGAACCCAAGGGAATACTTCCCCGGTACTTTGTGAAATCTCACCTTTGTCCACTGGTTGGAGGTGCTGGCGTTTTACGAGTTGATTCTTGCCTTTGGTTCTGGAGTTAATTTCCCCCAGACCCTTATCCTCTTTCTAAACCGAGTCATTTCTGCGGCTAAACTGAAGCACCACAGCAGGCAGTCCCTGCCTCAGGCACCCTCTGACCGGTGTCAGCGGCCGGGATGCTGGAGGACCTGCCGGGGCTCCGGTCTGGTGGGGGACCTGGCTTGGCCTGGGAGCCTTGGAGTCACGGCTACTTGTAGTGACCGTCCCCGGGACAGGTGACAGTTGGGCAGTGAGCTCCAGGCGAGGAGGGCAGGGAGGGACCGTGTGTTCCATCTCCAGGTCTTGGGGAGGCTGCCCCCGGCCCGGAGCCGCCCTGGCCCAGCGGGCAGCAGCCGTGTAGGCGGCGTAGACCCAGGTGGCTGTGCTCCCCGCCCGTCGGGGGCTGGGAGGGGCCTGGTGTGGGATCCAGGGTCAGCTAAGGCGTCGGCCGTGCTCTGGTGCAAGACGGTGCCCACACGGCCCCAGGTGTCCTCAGCCTTTTTGGGGCAGAGTGCACAGAATTGAGGCGTTGGGTTCACCTTCAGCACAGTAAGTGGTGCGACCCTAAGCTGTTTCCTCCTCTGGTTCTCAGCTGGCGGCTCCTACTACATGATCTCGAGGTCCCTGGGGCCTGAGTTTGGAGGGGCTGTGGGCCTCTGCTTCTATCTGGGCACGACCTTCGCCGGGGCCATGTATATCCTGGGGACCATTGAGATTTTTTTGGTAAGTGCTTTGGTTTGGGCTGGTTTTCCAGAGCCTGAGGAGCCTGTCCCGAGGCGCACGGGGCCCCTCAACCGGCCCCTCACCGTGTCGCTCTGACACCGCCTCCTTGGGCCCTCGAAGGCTGACTGTGTCCGTCTCCTCAGAGCCCACGCAGCTGTGACCCAGTGTCCGTTGGCCGCCCGGCGGGTGGGCCCCAGCGTTCTTGTCCAGCGGATGTGCTTGCTGGGCCGCAGGCCTGAGCCCAGGGTGGGCCCGGGGGCCGGAGCCCAGGGTGGGTGGGGGGGGGGGGGCCTGAGCCCAGGGTGGGTTTGGGGACCTGGCCTTCAGGGCCGTGGCCGCTGGAGGAGGCAGGGCTCCCAGAAGAGAGCTCCTTGGCCACGAGTCGGTCATTTCTGCTGCCCGCGCTTGGTTCATGTTGCACGTGCCCAGTAGGGCCTCCCAGATGGTATCATCACTCTCAGGTGGTTGGGCCGCGGGTGCCACCCGAGGGCCAGCCTCCACGACACCAACCCCAGGCGGCATTCCTATGAGTCTTTCTTCTCTGCTCTCGGGTCTTGATGGCAGCACCCAGGGGCCCACCGTGAATGGGTTCTGGTGGGCTGGGAGCCCGCAGAGGGGGAGGGAGCCCAGCACCGGGTCCTGCAGACAAAGATGGCCTCCCCCGGGGGGCCATCTTCCAGCGGGGGGTGGTCGGTGGCCCTCCTCGACCCCCTCCCTCTGTCCCCCACAGACCTACATCTCCCCCAGTGCGGCCATCATCCAGGCGGAGACTGTGGGCGACGAGGCCGTGGCCATGCTGCATAACATGCGCGTGTACGGGACGTGCACGCTGGTGCTGATGGCCATGGTGGTCTTCGTGGGCGTCAAGTACGTCAACAAGCTGGCCCTGGTGTTCCTGGCCTGCGTGGTGCTGTCCATCCTTGCCATCTATGCCGGCGTCATCAAGACCGCCTTCGACCCGCCGGACATCCCGTGAGTCCCGCGCCTGCGAATCTGCAGCCCCTCTCGTCAGCCTGGTCTGTGCCCGTGGCCGCGTGGTCGGGATCGGGAATGAGCCGTCAGGACTCTTGTGCGCCTCTGCCACCTGCGAGGACGGGACGGGTCTGGCAGAGGTCGGGGTGCGCAGGGTACTGGTGGCCCTGAGGACGGTCAGGCCCTGAGCTCCTGGGGTGGCCTGTCCTCGGTGCCCTCTGTGCGCGGCTCCGCTCGACCTCCCAGAAGCCCCCGAGTGGGTTCCTTTCTCGTCCCTCCTCCGGATGCGGATGCCGGGTCCCAGGGAAGTGGCCCAAGGTCACAGAGCGAGTGACAAGCTGTAGAATGTCCGGTGCTTGGGCCGGCCGGATGGGCCCAGCGCCCACAGGGCTGATCTGGGAGGGGCCTGGCGGGGTGGGTGGCTGCTGGTGTCGAGCCCCCCGGCCCCTCCACGTGGAGGGAGCTGCCTGTGTCAGATGCCCCAGGACGGGCCATGAGTCCGCAGCACACTGTGAGGAGCCCAGGACCCCGAAGCGTGGTCTCGAGGGGCTGCTGTGTCCACACCCGTCCCTCCCAGCTCACGCAGCGTTCCCATCACGCAAAGTGGAGCGTCAGAAGTGATTTAGCGGCCCCTGGCCCCGGTCGCCCAAGAAAAGCAGTAGTGGTTTCAGAAGAGGCCCCCACGACTCCTCATGCCCGACCACCCGCTCTAGGGTCTGTCTGCTGGGGAACCGCACCTTGTCGAGACGCGGCTTTGACGTCTGCGCCAAGGTCCACACCGTCAACAACAGTACGATGCCCACGGCGCTCTGGGGCCTCTTCTGCAACAGCTCCATGCCCAACGCCACCTGTGACGAGTACTTTGCCCAGAACAATGTCACGGAGATCCAGGGCATCCCTGGCGTGGCCAGCGGTGTCCTCCTGGGTGAGTCCCCCCAATCCCCGCACTCCAGGCGGGCGGGGCCGCGCCTCCCCTCCCCCACAGCCCACCAAAGCCAGTGGGGTCAGTAGACCCTGTGTATCTAGGAGTTAGCCTCTAGGTGCCCAGGAACTTTCCAGGTTCACTGGAGACTCACAGGGCTTTTCCGTTTCTGTTCTGTCTTCTGGGAAGACACACTTCACATCTTCCTGTGAAGTTGGAGCCCATGGGAACTTGGGAACCCTTTACCGCCAGCCACGTCTGCTGGGGCCTCCCTGAGTCAGGAGCCCATGCAGCAGGTTCCGGAATCTTGTTACTGGTCTGTTGTCGCCCACAGATAACCTGTGGAGCTCGTATGCAGACAAGGGGGCGTTTGTGGAGAGGAAGGGCACACCGTCGGTGCCTGTGCCCGAGGAGAACAGAGCCAGCGGCCTGCCCTACGTCCTCACTGACATCATGACCTACTTCACCATGCTGGTCGGGATCTACTTCCCCTCTGTGACCGGTGAGGCCCCCCCCCCACCGCGCACACGTGCCCTGGTCCCCTCACTCTCCATTTGGCCCCAGAAACAAGCCTCAGGATCTCTGCTCCTGTGTGCTGTGGTTGGGGTGCAGGAAGGGGCTTTGTCCCAAGCTCTCCCGAGAGGCCGTTGTCACTCAAAGGAACCGTGACCATGGCGGCCAGGAGTGGACACGCTTTCTTCCACACCGGTGCCTCCTCCCCTGCACGTGTGCACGCGCACTTCCTGCCGGGACACCCCTCGGCGGCCGCGTGTGCAACGGGAGCCTGCCCCACCCTGGCCTGGCCCTGGCTCCCTGGGCCGCCCGCCGCCGATGCTGTGTCTGCCCGTGTGGCTCTTGCCAGGAGCCACTCGCAGCTCTGCTCCTGCTCCGGGAGCCCGGTCCGCGTGGCTGCCTTGCCAGGCTTCACCTCCGCACCCTCTGCAGCCACGCCGTCTGGGGACTAGGGGCTGGGGGGCTGCTGAGCGATTCTCTCTGGTCCCACCCTCCCTGTTCGTCGGGGCCAAGGGCCTGGTGTGGTAAGCTGCGTGTTCTTCCTGTGGGCTTCTGTAGGTATCATGGCGGGCTCGAACAGGTCTGGGGACCTCAGGGATGCCCAGAAGTCCATCCCCACTGGGACCGTTTTGGCCATCGTGACGACGTCTTTCATCTGTATCCTTGAGAGGGCTGAGTTCGGGGGTGGCCCTGATGCTCTGTCTGCCGCTCAGTCCCCAGCCACTGGGGTGGGCTTCCCAGGCCCTGGCAAGTTCTGGCCATCATCGCCCCGAGGTGGAGCTGGGCAGGCCTCTGACACTGACCTTCACGGCTGGTTCTGGCGCAAGTCCTTGTCCGTAAACCACATGTACCACCACGTCATCCCACGTAACGTGTCGCTAACATGTAGCCGCTCCCTGCTGAGTGAGCCAGGGTGACCTGCCCTGTCCCTGTGGCGGTCACATTACAGGCCCTGTGCAGCCTGACTCACCTGGTAGATGGGGCGGCGAGGAAGGTCCCCTGAGAGCCGCCAGGATGGTGTAGGTGGGGTCAGGGTCAGTCAGGTCCACCTGCAACCAGGGCCCTTTGGCCCGTGCGTTTGGCCCACCTCTTCCTTGACGTGAGATGCAGACCTGTCCTGCATCGTGCTCTTTGGGGCCTGCATTGAAGGAGTGATCTTACGAGATAAGTACGTTTTCACTTGCAGTTTCTAGAAGCTTCCGTGTGTTTTTTCTAGATGATCGTAGCGTTGACCTGGATTTCAGGCTTCGAGTGGTAGAGCAGGAGACCCCGTGGCCCCTTCGTGGGGATTCTGTTTGGCCTGGTGTGTCCACCCTCTCCTGCTCCAGCCTGGAGCTGGGGAACCACAGGGTAGCCTCTGACCCCGAGAGAGTGTGAGGGGGCCTGTGCGGTCCCCGAGCGTGACCCGCGGCGATGCTGCTCTTACACGAGTGACTGTGGCTTCCCTGCTCCCGAGAAAGGACACCGAGGGTGGGAGTGGCCTTGTTCCTGCTGAGAAGGTGTCTGAAAGCCCACCTGCCCCTGCCCCGCAGGTTTGGGGAGGCCCTGCAGGGGAAGCTGGTCATCGGCATGCTGGCCTGGCCGTCCCCCTGGGTCATCGTCATCGGCTCCTTCTTCTCCACTTGCGGTGCTGGTCTGCAGAGCCTCACGGGCGCACCACGCCTGCTGCAGGCCATTGCCCGCGACGGCATCGTCCCCTTTCTGCAGGTGAGCTGGGAGGCCGTCCTGCGAGCGTGTCCTCGAGGGTCCCTGAGGGTCTGCCCGCAGGGCACGACCTTCACTGGCCCGCACTGTGGGCCCTGGGGACCCCTGCCAGCCTGGTGGCTCCCCGCAGATGGTCACTGTGCTGTGGGAACAGTGAAGAGCATCCACCTCCTGCCGGGGCTGGGGACGGAGGGCAGTGTCTGTCCCGAGCAGGGCCGGGGGGGGGG